AAATGCCATCAGTCTAGAGTTTCTGCCCTTGTTCCTCAGAGGTCATTTCCTGGGAAAACCAGTGGTGGCATCACAAAATGTCATTGAATTGTTGGCTTTTTTCTCAGGTAAATCTCCCGACAATACCACTCTTAATGATCATTACTTCTCTTGCTTATTGTTCCTATTATCACACATTATATAAGACAGCGTTTACACTCAGTACCCAAATACAGTACTCACTGAGCACTAATGTGAACGCACCATTTTTTCAAGTACCCACACTAGAATTCGGACATGGTGCCGGTGCCCAAGTAGTATAGGAGGTCTCGACCTTGTTCTTCGGCACAAAAGTAGGCACTGGGTCCCTGTCTGCACACAATTTTTGTAAGTTCCAGGCAGTCAACTGCTTTGTTCTCACTCCCAAGCTCATGTTTCAAAATGGAAGTCTGACAAGGCGAAATGGAGTAACCATGTATATCGTCATATATCGGGTACTCAAAGTGTGAACACAACACCACTTTGTGCTGGTACCCAGGCACTGGTTCCTGAGCACAAAGTCTGGACAGCCCCAAGATGTAGTGAATGGTCAAAAATTTGACATTTAACACATAACTTAACACAAATGAAAATGTGTGGTTCCAGAAATATCCATCCCCCCCCCACCCCCCCACGGAAGATGCTTGGAAATTCCTGGCCATCAAGATGGGGTTACCATCATTGGCTTTAATGTTTCTGTTTTTCTTTGAGTTAGCTAGCGCTACAATCTCCAGAAGAACGATGTGTCTTTGAAACAATGCGATTTAAAATGGCGGACATAACTGGCCAGAGTCTAGTCTTCATCTCATTTTCTCCCGACCAACATTAAAGTGCTTTCACTTCTGTTCACTGAGTATCTTCGCTACATTCACATGCAGGAAACACATTTTTGATAGGATTCATGTTTTATCAGTGTCTGTTGGAGGTAGTAACTCATAAAAAATGCAATGAGACAAGAGTACTTTCCTCCCCATTTCTTGCTTGACCTTCACAAGGCCTGGCTACCTGGCTAGTAAAATTACTTCTGCAATCGTGACGATGTTCACAAAACCTAGTGTCTTGGCATGTGTTAGTGACATTTTCGGTCCTTAAATAAGAATCACCCTGAAGAAAGTGACAAAATGTCTAGAAAAAGAAACAGCCAGAAAGGAACCTGGGGGGTGGGGGTGCAAATCAAAGAGTCTTCCGTGGGGGGTATGGATATTTTCTGGATCTACACAATCCTGGGGGGAACCAGAATGTTTAATTTTGAAAATGCTCATGATCAGAAGGAAGATAAAGGGCATGCTTGGAATGACTGGGCCTTTAATTCCAAAACCCTTGAAAATTCGATGGGGGAATATATCAGGATGACACAGGTGACTTACCTGCTGCTTGTTTTCTGCAGGCAACTTATGAGCATTCTAAAAAAGAAAAAGAGAAAGAACCAATGTCTAGTTAATCTTAACGACAGGAAAAAAACTGCTAGTTAAGGTATCATTCACCCTCAAGCACCCTGCTCGCGTTCATCAGTGCTAGCGCTGTTGCTTTTAATAAATACCCCCATAAATATTATATAAACCGTACATTTTCTGAAAGCTTAATAGTTCCAGATTATTGCCTATTCCTTTTAAAAATATAAAAATACTAATGCGATTCAGAAATGAGAATCTCTTTGTGAAAATAGGTGTCACTGTAAATTTAAGTCAAGGCCAGCCAAAAATAAATGGAATAAGCCAATTAAGACTGCATTTGCTTCTTAACATGTTTGATGAAAAAACTTTGTCTCAGATTTTTTCAAGTGCATTTGTTCTTTTGTTACGCAGTTGAAGTTACATGTCGGGATAGGAAATGATCAGCACTACCTGTGAAAAACATAGGCACGTTAAACGTGCATGAGCTATTTTGAATGCTTCAGTGTAACTTTAATGCTTCGGTGTAACCTTACCAAGAGTGATCAATCTACCTCTTTCATCCTAAATGTAGATTAGGTTTTTGTGCGAAATTGCGTATTGCGGTACAAAATGAAAACGCGAAACGCTCAGCTGAGTCGATCCTCAAGCTATATATTCACTTTCCTCTGTCTTTCCCTGTTACATCTGGTGCAAGTTAAACAAATCGTTAAAGTGAAATAAATTCCTACTCACCAAACGTTGATTAGAAGGAAAACTATAAGGTTTCCTCGGAGTTTCTTAAGCCAAAATGTGACTCATCGAATACTGAATAGTTACGAAATACCAGAATTTTTATCATTGTGGTAGATGGTTGCATCATCATAATTCACGAGGTTTTCACGTGCGATTCTACTCAGTGAAACAGTCTTTAACTCCGACAACTTATTTCTTCATGTTTTAAAAGCTATTGCTTCTCAAAAGACAAGAGCCTTTTTTAAGGCATTGGTTACAAAACGAAACAGGTCTTCATACGTCCAAGTTACTATTTATCATTGTGAAAAACCAATCTGCATGAGATGTACAGTCACACAGCTGGCTCGTGAAAGTGTTGGACTTTGCCCCCTTTCATCGTTCGTACGTGAGGGAATTCGAGTTATCACACAGTAAACTAGCTGAGTAAACAGAATTATAAAAATAACTCACGCACACAATTTGCACGTGAAGGTGTTGGTCTTTGGCCCTTTAACAATTCGTGCGTTAAAAAAAGGCTAATTCTTCACTAAAAAATTTTCTCAAACGATTTTAAGAAATCACCTCGGCTTCATTATAACATCTGCAATTAAATTATGTTTCATGCAATGTCAAGGTTGATAACCTAACATTTATTAACAAAATTTTGTGAAACGGTCTTTAACTCCGACAACTTATTTCGTCATGTTTTAAAAGCTATTGCTTCCTAAAAGACAAGAGCCTTTTTCAAGGCATTGGTTACTAAATGAAACAGGTCTTCATACGCCCAAGTTACTGTTATTATTGTAAAAAGCCAATCTGCATGTGATGTACAGTCACTCAGCTAGCACGTGAAAGTGTCGGACTTTGCCCCCTTTCGTCGTTCGTACGTGAGGGAATTCGAGTTATCACACAGTTATCTAGTAAACAGAATTGTAAAAATAACTCATGCACACAATTTGCATGTGAAGATGTTACAAAATTTTCTTAAACGATTTTAAGAAATCACCTCGGCTTTACTACAACATCTGCAATTAAATTATGTTTCATGCAAGGGTCAAGGTTGATAGCCTAACATTTATTAACTTCCAAGAAAATTATCAAACTGCCGAAATATATCTCTACTTATATCATGATTATTGTGTCAACTAGCTTCCTCCAATTTTATTCCCTAACGCCACTGTTTCTACTTAAGTTATGCATCTTTACTAAATAGAATGAAAAAGGTCGGTTGAACTTTGTAAGCGAGAGAATAATATTTTTAAAGCTTGTTTACAGGATTAACAATACTCGATACAGCTTTCAAAAAAATAAGCTGCCTTTTAAACTTCTAAAACCACATTTTATAGGGCGCATACTTTCGAATAAAAGTCTATATCTAAATATCAATTATTGCTTCACTGGAAGAGCTTTGAAAATATACGATCTTTTATATTCTACCTTGAAGCACGTGAAACACAACTCATAAATGCGTGCGTTAATACCGTTAACGATAGCCGAATTCGGTCAGAAATGTCTTGAAGTAGCTTCAACACTAAAATATGAACCCTTAAACAGCTGCATCACTGTACACAGCGTTTGAATAATGAAGATATTTAATATAATGTTTCCAAATACCTGTAGCCGTAATAAAAGACGAAAAAATTGTGAAGAATAAAGATGGCGGTCTCAAAGTGCCCTTGTTCGACCTTTACTAATGTCATGTTTAAGTAGATGCTAAGATCTCATTGGTTCCTAAGCATCAACTAATAGTACCTTCAGCCTTATTGGCTCTTGCAACAAAGATCCGAACATACAAAGTTACAAAGCCACAAAGATACATACGCTCACACCACTGACATATGAGCTATTTTTTCAAAAAGGCTCAAAAATACTCTTGCTTGAAAAAAAAAAAGCATTTCTAAAGGGGCCAAGAAAGAAAATGCTCTTGCGTCAGAGGGCAAATCATGCCTACCAGAGAAAATCAATATGCGTGTCACGACCTCTCAGTATGAAACATATTTAATGAGCGGTCAAAATTCACATTTGCTCAGTCAAAACGTTTTCCTCCAAAGCATAATCTACTCGACGGAGAAAACAATTCATTGGAACAAGCGGCATGTTTGCATGAGGTAAAAGTCGTGTGTTTCCTACCGATCGCTTTTTTAGCCAGGCGAGATAACAATGACGGTCGGCCGTTGCACGGAACTTGAAGAACTCTTTGCATAAACAAACATCCGATAAATAAGGCTTTTGTCAAATCCTGTTGGTAGAACACAGAAAACATCCTTTCCCCTGAGTAGCAACTCCAAAGCTTCCCTCTGCTCCGATTTTAAAACAAATCCCAATTCTTGCGAGCAAATCCAGGCGATCAACATCTGTCATTTTACAGCGAAAGCTTTAGCAATTCATCACGGTATAGAACAACGTGAATGACATGTTGAAAACATTACTTGACAGCTTGGTGACAGCTTGCATCGAAATTTAGCCAATGGGAATTGCCCGTGGCTGGGAGAAGCGGGTAATTCGAACGAATATAACGTATTCAAAACGGACAGTCCGTATTTTTAGCGTCTCTCCCCAGTCTCGCTCTCTGTTTTCTGCCTCATTCCAGACCTTTTGTTTGACTGCTCGCGCGTACTTGAATACGCAAAAATACGGACTGTTTTGCAGTCTTTCCCAGTCTCGCTCTCTGTTTTCAGCCTCATTCCAGACCTTTTGTTTGACTGCTCGCGCGTACTTGAATACGCAAAAATACGGACTGTTTTGCAGTCTACATCGATCGCCGATCGCGCTAGAGTTCGGGTACTCACTTTTTTTTCGAGAAAAAGGACTTTGATAATGGTATTTCACAATAAGAGTGAGGAAAAAATAATATACTTCGCTCTGCAACATTTCGAAACGAGGAAATGTAGACTTTTCGCATCAGTTATTACGCGCTTTTAATCATATTTACATGGAAAAGGCGGGTTATAAATTTTAATCATTATTACTTCCACGCTTTCGCTGAGCCAAAGGTTCTAAAGTATGATTTAGATTAACGTCAGGTCTAAATGTGTCATTTATCAAGAATTGGGAAAATTTGAACTGGTATCACAAGATAAACAATGCAGCGGGTAAGATCTATTAAAATAAAGTTTTTGTTTTCTTGAAAACCTGTTCTTTATTTGATCTTAAAATATGTCCGCCCGAGGTGTCTCGAAAAAGCCCAAAATTCTTTTCCGGTGAAAGAAAAAGAGTTTTTCTCTTGGTGGAAAGTGTCCAAATCTATCGTGCGGCCTTTTTTGGCGTACGCCGGAAGACTTAATCTTAGTGAGTTTGAGGTTGAAAATAGGCCATTTTGAGACCCCCACCCACAGAAACCGATCATATTATTTTTCTCGAAAATAAAAGGCTTTTGGCGAGAACAATTTCGTCAGCTTTCTTATCTACCAATGTTACCTGTAGACAAGAAATGAAAAAAAAAAAAAAGATTTTTCATCTCCTGCTCGGTAATTTCAATCCTCGGTATTTCCTAACCTTGCATAATATCTGACCCCAGTGATTTTGTTACCTCTGTGTCCTGCATCCCTGAGGCAGAAAAATCCCCAAAGATGCAAAGTAATTCATAGCATTGTGCACGACGCAAAGATCGATCGATCAAATTGAAGATTTTTTGGATAGAATATCCTGTTCGTGTTTGTGCTTTAAATATATAGGACTATACAGTTGACTACCGATAACTCGAACCCTCGCTTACTCGAACCTCGCGCTAACTCGAACCAATATCGATTTCCCCTGGATTTCCGTCACACATTTACTGTAATTTTACCCTCGGTAACTAGAACCCTCGATAACTCGAAACTCCCGCTAACTCGAAGTAATTTTTGTTTTCTCTCAGATCATTTCTATATAATTTTACCCTCGATAACTCGAACCATGTTTTGAGCCCTTGAAAAGTGGGGAAAAAACAGTGTACTGCCTCCGAAGCATTGAATTTTGAATTTCCCATTGACGTGTTGTAGGCATTTAGTTTACTAGTGGATCGATAGCGGAGGCTGATGTTGTTTGTCACAAATCTAACGTGAAAATAGCTTTACTTCTCAAAAAGTAAAATACATGCTCTATTTAGGCAACGTTTTGTTTCAGATTTGTTACTTTACGTTCTGATTTATAATCTAAAAGTATTTTTCAATTTTCACTCAACATTTCTACAATTAAATGTGATTAAAATGCTCACTGTGCAGTAAAAACTGTTTTTTCCCTTACTCCCGGCCATCTTCTTCGAGCTCCCGATAACTCGAACTCCCGATAAATCGAACCTTTTTCGATTTCCCTTGAAGGTTCGAGTTATCGGGAGTCAACTGTATTTTAATTTCTGTAAACTGTAATAGAGAGTTTTGGCGTCTGTCTCTCGATTAACTGTCTAGTTATATAAAGACCCAAGCACTTTCAATTTAGGAATCCTTGTTTTTTTGAACTAGGACTCATTGGTTATGGACACAAGATGAGTTCCAGGACTCACGATAACTATTTGTAACAAATCTCTGTGACCCTAACCTTTGAGTCGAACTATCTTTACAAAATTTCTCAGTGGAGAGAAACAATTAAAAGAAAGACAAAAAAAACAAGTTCTGGAGAATGTCATTCAATTGAATTTTACATCAAAGACCACAATTCTGATTCAAAATGGAACTTTGGTCTCCAGAAAGACATTTCCTTAACAGCGGCTCACTAGTAATCGAGTCTTCATTATTTAATAATTTATTTAAGGGTAAAATGAAAATAAATATTACCTCTTGTTCATGCTGACAGTGAGAGCACTTCAGGTGAGTGGCATGACAAGCTTTAGCCTCTTCATTGTCACAAGCTTTTGACATGTTGTGACAGCGATGACATGGATAGAACTGTGTGTAACAAGGGAATCGCACTCTGCAGTGCCGCTGATAATGTTCACATAACCACTGTGATCGTGCGTTGATGGCCTCTTGTTGTTGTGGCCAGTTTTCAGCTTCCCGTAATTCTCTTTCTTCTCTCTCCCGCCTTTCTCGAGCTCTTTGTTCTCTTATTAACTGTTCTTTCCTTTCTATTTCCCTTCCAAACTGTTCACGTTCCTCTCTCTCCCGAAGAACGCGTTCAACAAGGGCACAAGCTTCTGCAACACGCCGTTCCAGAGCAAGCAATGAGTTGTCCGAGGCCTCTATTGAATCAGTACCAAAGTCTGTGTTGTTTAACACAGAAACTCTATTGTTGTCAGTGTCGCCATGACGTGGTTCTAAGACAGATGTATCATGTGTAGATCTCGTTGCCAAAACACCATCAGACGTTGTGGAAGTTCCAAGCTGATACCGTGCAGCTGAATTTGCATCATCATCAATGTTTCCAGTTGTTGTCCTTGAATTTCCAAATGCTAAATTTGCTTTCTGAGCCGGCTCATCTGTGCCCTGATTAGAAATAAAAGCTGAAGCGTTGTCATCGCCAGCAAACCTATTTGTATCATGAGCAGGGCCCGTAAGCTGCTCACTTGAAAAGTTATTAAATCTTGGCGCATTATATACAGGATCCCCAGGTAGAGTTAGTGCTGCACCTGTCCGTGAAGGGTCAGCAAAACTTGAACCAGTCATTCCTGGATAACTATTTAGAACAGGGTCACTTGCCATAGGAGGATATGGCATTTGCTGTGCTGACGGGAAATAAGTCTGTCCGTCAAAATGGTCAACCCCTGCAAATCTATGACGACTATGTACAAAATCACTTTGAGGAGAGTAGTTGTTTGCAGCAGTTGAGGTATTTCTTGATAAATAGTTACTATGCAATGAGAACAAGTTGTCAGTGAAAAGTTCCGCATCAGAAGGGCCACCCAAATGTCCATTAGATTCACTCACAAGTGAATTGCCAGTTCCAATAAATGGCTCTGCCCTGGACGCAACCTGGCAATCCCCAAAGTACGCCTGGGCTCTGCTAGATCGAGATATGTCACCACCAATAAAGGAAGTCCCCTGTGATGGAAAGTCATTTAAGAGAGAAGCACCATCAGTTTGATAGATACTGTCATGAAGGGATTTGCCTTGGGTGTGTCTCGCTAAGAAATCACCAGCTAAGCCATCAGTTATATAAACAACGGGTTCTGTTGGCTTTGGTTGAACATCTGAACGTTGAACCTCCTTTGGTCTAGCACCGAGACGCTCCCAATCTGTTTCAGCGGATGATTGTGTCCCAAGTACCCTCCCTGCTGTTGAAGAGGTTCCTTGCTGTGTTAATGGCAGGATTCCTCCACTTGCAAAACTTTGAGTTCCAACAATCTCACCAACAAAACTGTCTGCACTTGTGCCAGAGTGTACTGATTTTATTGCTCCGTCACAAGAATCAACAAATTCTTTTTCTTCCTCAATTTCTTTCCATTCAGCCTTCTCAGCTGCTTTATCAAAAAGCTCATCTTCCCCATCAGCCACGTAGCATTCATTGTTTTCTGAGTAAGAATAAGCTGAATAAGACTGGCATGCTGCTACTATTGGAGAGCCGTCACACTCCACGTCAGCGTAATGGAATATCGAAGATCGTTCAGTCTGCTCTTTAGTACACACTACGTTAGGGTCAGTGTCAACTGAGATTTCTTTATTTCTACAAGCCTTACTAGACAGTGTCGTCAAAATAGGTGAGCCATCAGTTGTATCAATCGTGGACTGCAAGGTGCAACAAGAATCAGCTACCACTGCAGTTTGTTCCATACTGGATGACAATAACGAACTATCATTAGAACTTGACAAATAATCGTCTGAAGTAAGGGTGGGGAATTGGGGAAATTCTTCGGCGCTGAGAGCACTTTTCATGGATGAATTACTGCTTTCTTCACTCTCACTTGAGACAGCGGTGTATGTGTTGGTTTCCCTTGAATCTTCACTGAATCCAAGTGATGAATTGTTTTCCTGTTCAGTTTCTGCTTCCTCTGTTATTAATGATTTATCATTTTCTTCAACACCCTGCAATTGCATCGAGTCTCCTCTGATACTCACACGTGTAAACACTCCATTTCCTTCAACGTGCTTCCTTCCATGTCTGTTCAGTTGTACCTCCAAACTGTAATCTTTAACAGATGTCAGTCTGGGTGAATTCTCAACATGATCAGGTAATCTATTTCCACTCGCTGACAAGCTCTGCCTAGAAAGAATGTCTGACCCTGAAAGAAAATAACCAAGCAACGACACTAGTAAAAAAAAACAAACATCCTTTATGAGCACAGTCCTTGAGAATTAAATAGACTGGCTACTCCATCTAGTGAATCCAATACATTACCGTCCATCATGCATTTGGTTTGGAATCATTCAGATCTTCCTCAGCAAGTGCCTTTCCCCCGTCTTCTCTCCTATTTAATTCCAAGGGTGAATGCTACATGTAACAGACTAGGGAAAGGGGAGGGGATTTGTGACAGTTCACCCTCTTTCTTGACCCAGAAACACATCCCCTTCCCTCGTTTCTTTACCTGAATATCCAACTTTGTATCTAGGGTGACACATCCATCTCCACTAAAACAGCACAACTACACTGCAAACAAAATTCCTGATCAGCCCCGTGTTCTTATTTTAAAATAGACCTTTCCACTTTTTGACAAGGACCTGTTCGCACAAATGCCACAAAAAAAATAAAATAAGTAGTTGCCAAGTCAAAGAGTGATATTTCAGAAATGAGAGATGATATTGCTTTGCCAAGTCACCAAAAAGTTGCCACTATCACCACCCCCTATCAAACGTCTATGAAACCCTATGATTTTGCAATTCATAGATGTTTCTTTCAACTTACTTCACTCTCTAACTTGATGACTTTACTGATTTTAAGGTAGCAACAGATTTTTGCCAACTGATCCTCGTCAAGAATAGCCCATTTTACAGTTACAGGTGGAAACCAGGCTGAAGTTGACCTTCTTTATATACAACCCTTCCTGCTTTACTATGTAACTAATGTTTTTCTTATGTTAAGTACGTATTTTTAAGCCTAATTTCCATAAGAAAAGGAAAGACGTTTGTATCAAAACAAGGTCAACCTCAGCATCACGTCCACTTAAAGGCTAGGATACTAAGTCCACACCTATAAAATGGCCTATTGAAGAAAACATTGAAGGGTCTATACATGCAAACTACTTTAACATTCATTTAACAATTAGAGTGTGTTGCTACAATAAAAACAAGAAATGATTAGGAATTCTCATTATTACCATGTTTTGCAGCTGTTAAAGGTAACTGTATTCCAAGTTTCTCCACAAGATCATATCGCTGAATCCCCGCAAGCAGGTTTGCAATATAATGGCAGGGAAATACTCCATTTGTCTCCAGTTCTTCAAAAAGTTCAAAGGCCTCTGTTATCCGTGCTAGTCTGAAACCACTGACTTTGCTTTTGACCAGAAACTTGATCTTTTTCACCTCTTCCAATGATAATGAATCAGAGATCTCTAGAAGTCTTGAGTGAAGGGAAAATCCTGAAAAAAATCAAGAGAAAGAACATAAAACAATGACCCTTGCCAAATTGATCACTGCCCATGGGAATGATATTTTTTTATCCTCTTTTTAAATACAATGAATGATTTGAGCCCAGGATCCCTTTGAAGCCAGACCTCTGGAAGTCTTGAATGCAGGGAAAAACCTACAAAAAAAAAAATAAGGCAAGAATATAAAACAATGACCCCTGCCAAATAGATCATTGCCCATAGGAATGAAAATTATTTGATTTTTTTCATTGTTTGCGATTCAATGAATGGTTTGAGCACAGGAGTCATGTCATACTCCTCCCCCTCAGTCAGAAGATGTAACATGACTGACCGGGGAATTCCTACATAGGACTGTACTTGACAGTGACTGACGTTTCAACAACCTGTGCAGCAGTCATCTTCGGAGTCAAAGTGAGTTGTGTATCATTAATTGACAGTATTAAGCTCTCTGGTTATTGACCAAGCTAATTGTTTGATTTCACTGTAAGTCAGGGTGTTATTGGTTTTCTATATCAAAGTTAAAATGATTATGAAATCTTCATATATTTGAACTGCATGAGAAAGATTTAACCCGAGAAAGACAATCACAGTTACATGGAAATATGCATCTTAATAGGTCGCCAAAAGAAAGCCTGAAAAAAGTTCAAGCTCTTAATTACCACTGAGCTCTCTAGCAAACTGGCTGGATTTTTTTCAGGCTTTCTTTCTGCAACTAAGTTACACACATGACTGCAACAATCTTTCACGTGATAAATTATTGGTTCTCTGTCAGTTAAGCACGCATTTGAAGAACTTGAGCTCATTGGAATGCAGTTGAGAAAGATGCAGCCCGTAAAAAATACACATAGTATGTTGACAGCATTAAAAAGTAAAATAAATCAGAGTGGTTACAGGCTAACAACTTTCTACAAATTTTAAACATGTATTTTCCGAGTGTCTTGAAAATAACACCTATTAATTCCCTGAAAAGACCACTTAACGGCAAACACTTGAAAGAAATTCTACGGAATGGAAAGTTAAGGAGGACTGCTATGAGTTTAGATATTATTAATTGGAATGAAAAATTAAGTAGTCATAGTCTGCTATCTTATAATAATATCATGAAGAATAATTCTCCAATTTTGCACATTATTCATACAACATTATAATTATGCAGTTTTCAGAGGATGTTACAAACCAAATCAAAAACACCTTAATTAATCTACACAATTCCTCTTTACATACTCAGCCTTATCCAATCATGTTAGTTCCCTCCAATTCTGCAATTCCTCACACAGTTCCATGTTCTTAAACTGTTAAGCTGCTATTTAATACTTTTTGACATCTCCAACTAACCTGACTCATGCAGCAAAGCTGCCCCTCCGAGGAGCCTTCCACAACGCTTTCCTTTTTCTTCAAGGAACAAGTGTTTCCCCAGGTCAACTTGGAGTTTCTGTTTCTCTTCTTCACTCTGCTTCAGCTGTTCCTCCAATTGCTTGATCTCTAGTTGTAATTCAAAGCACTCCTTCCGCGAAGCTGCTGACACATTCTCAAAATCACCAGACGCAGTTTCTAAACCACTTCCCTCTGAACTTGCAGCAGATGATGGTCTTGAAATGCTCTCATGACGTTCAACAGAAGGACCTTGTTTCTGATGTTGGTATAAATCCAAACGTCCAGCTTGATTGTTTAGAAGCAACATGCTGGAATTTGCCACATTTGACTCTCTGTTTGTGTGAACATGTTGCATACCTGTTTTCTGGTCAGCAGGGAAAAGAGAGTTTTCTTCACTGCTCACAGAATTACATTCAGCAGTCGATGATTGCAACTGATGTGAATCTTTCAACTGCTTTGCTTCCCTTGTGTCTGGACCACAGCTGCTTTTTACAATGCCTTCCTCATTTGACAAGTGCCTGTAAGTAGAGACTTCTGAATCACTTTGGTCAAGAGAGAGATGGCCATTTGTTTCTTTTATACTTCTCACAGATGTCAAGCTATCAGGTAATGACTTCGTTGGTGTGAAGGAATCATCAGACTCGGGAAAACTGGAGTTGTTTTCAGAAACTGAGGTCTGTTCAGATGAGACTGGTGAGTTCTGATTTACTTGAACATCACTAGCACAACTGTCAGAGGAACATGATGTGACGTTGGAGCTCAGCGATGTTTTTTCTGTAGTGGCTTCACATTTGGCTTGTCTCAAAAGGTACTCCAGAAGACACAAATTAATGTCCACATCTGTAGGTAAGTTGCTGCTGGTATGGCTTACAATAGGCCTATTCTCCACATCCTATTGGATAAAAGGTAAAAAATCAAGTCATTTGTATTGGTTTCTGAACATGTTAAATTAACCACCTAATGAGTCTTTTTGTAGAACTACAACAACATGATACGTTTTTACATCACATGGAAACTCAGAGAAAAGCTGAGCCCCAGATGGGATTCAAACCCATGACCCTCTCTGATCTAGTCAGATGTTCTAACTACTGAGCTACTGGAGACTTGATGGCGAGCCAGGGGGAAATGTGGGTCTTTGACTAGAACGTGCATCAAGCAATCTCATAGTCAAATCAAGAAAAGCGCATATGACTCAACTGCACCACACAACCATCCAACCACCAAATGACTCACTTGACAAAGTCCCCAGCCGGTACACTAACTGCTTCCTATCTTTTTGCTGTAATAAAGAAGGCTGTAGACCAAAGCCCCAGAGAAATATGCCACTATATAGGATAGGAAGGAAGTATACAATCCACACCTGGCCCCAGTTGTTCAAAAAAGCATCCCTATCCAGAGGAAAAAAATTAATGTTATTCAGTGGATAACACATTGGTTTCCCACAAGGTACTGATTTATCTGTTGGATTGCACTATCCAAAAATTGAACAACCAGGGCTGGTAATGTATTTATTTTGGTTATTGCTAAAAGCAAGTTACTTCTCTTTAATCATAACTGCACATTGTCAATAGAAAAAACTTACCACGCCTTGCAACACATCAACATCTGATTGTGGATCTCTGCTGTCTGCACATGGAGAGTCACTTCTTTCCAAGGTCGAATCAGAGCGAAACAAGCCACCGCCCACATCTGAACTGCAGTTTTCCCTTGACAATTCACAGCAGCTCCTCTGGCCAAGCAACCAGGAAGACTGTTCAAATTTCACACTGAAAGCTGAAGATTCCATGGTGTTTTCTAGAGCCTCTTGTACCAATGAACAGACATGCTCTAAATCTGATTCCTTGAAGCTGTAACATTTTACTGTTAAAAACTTCTTTTCAACAGCAATAGAAATAAAGGATTTTCCCAGCTTTTCAATAACAAGAGATGCTACATTTTGTGCTGGGGAAACATGAGATACAACAACACCAAGATCTGTGCTTAGTGTCAGCTTTTCATGTAATTTTTGGGTCAGACGGTCAAAGACAAACTCAGCCTCGCGCTGATTAGAACATTCAGAAGAGAGGTAGGAGACCTGTATTGATTGCTTACGTGATTTTAATGAGGACTCCCAAGAATTCAAGTAGTCGAAGTTGTCACACTCTTGCAACTCCGACAATTCCAGTTCAACAAGAAGAGGAAGACAGTCAATCAGCCTCCAAAGGAAACAAATGTTAAGTGTAGGGATTGTCATTTCCCTATACAAATCATCTCTCTCTACAAAATCTTTGCGGAATGATGGTTGTAAAAAAAGCGTCAACACACTCTTTTGGAGTGCAGAGGCCAGGAAACTACCGTCTTCTTGAATGTTATGAGGAACCCTCAAACACAAGACAAAATACTTGGTGTTGACAGATGATAAGAACACTTGAGACCCTTCACTTTGTTCATCTGCTTCTTTTGTGTCACTCACAGGATGATTGCACAATTGCTCAACAGACTCTGGAGAGGCTGGCTTTGGGTGTGAGGATACAATGCAAACCACAGGCTTGTCAGAAAAAGGCAGTCTGTGCAAAATGAGGCAAACATCTTGACCAGCAAAATCCCTAATTTGAAGTTCCTCTGTTTTGTGTCTTTCCAAGTAATTAATGAGCAAATCAAGATGCCTGTATCTTTCATCGCCAGTGTTGAGGTGCACCAGATTGACAAGAGCTACAACTTTTGCGCAGAAATCAAAGGATCTGTCTAGATCAACAGCTAGTGACGGAACTAGTAAATTGACTAATGGGGAGTAGATAATTCTGGATTTGATCCAGAATTCACTATTAATATCTAACTGCTGTTCAACAGCCTCAAAAGACTTTTCTGCCTCTTCCCTGTCCCTCAAGGAGAGCTTCAAGACACCAAGCAAACTGTGGCATGCATTGACAAAAGAATGATGGGACTTCAGTCCAAGATGTAAGAAGATGTCAACCGCTGTTACCAGTTTTACTCTGGCTAAATTCCACAACGACTTATCTTTTAGCAAAATCGTGGCAGACTGGAAATATCCAGTGGCTAACGTGGGAGACAGCTCACCACAAGCTGAAATGAAGATGCCCAAAGCTTCTTCCATGGTATCACAGGCACACTGAAAGTTTTTCTCTTCAATCTTTAAAAATGAAAGTTCTAGAAGAATCCTTCCAGCTTTAGGATGATTAGGATTTAAATTTGTAAACTTTGCCAGGGCTTCATTTAGATGCTTCAAAGCTTCTTTGTAGTTCCCCATTAGCAAAAAGCAGGAACCCAACATACTCATACAGGATGCAACTGTGTGGTGTTCTTGGCCAAAATAGGAGATTAGAATGTTCATTGCTTGTCTGAGTGCTGGTCTCATTGTCAAGCTCAGTCTCTGAGCTAACTCGCCATGGGGTGGGAAGAGGCCTACATGTCAATCCCTAGGGGAGGGGAGGGTGCTGCAAAAGCGTGGTACTGTCCGTTTAGTCAGTGCACTTGTCACGTGTCTGTCTTAAGTTTGTCATGTCATATTCTTTGAATGTTTGGGGCCCATCGGCCAATGAAAGCATTCCCCTCAAGCACACCCTAGGGATGAAGTGGCCTTGAATTCTCTGCTTAGAACTTGCTTAAGTCTCAAGCATCCTCTGTCATGTAGAGCCTTAAAGCAGCTAGAGTGTATGGGCAAGTCGAGATTGTCTTTTTGATGGACTTGAATGTTTCTTTGCTAATCAGGAACCAAGAAGAGAGTCACCTTAAGAAAACCGTCGGTAAGAGCTCAGTTTCTTGGCAATATTTACTTCAGTTGAGTCAGTTTAAACTGTGTGGCTTCGAGGAGCCGGCTGGAACGGTTTTCAAAAATCCGGGGCTAGATATGCTTTTATAAAAGATTAGACCAAATACGAGACTGTAATGTACAATAATATTAATTTATAAGAAATACTTAAAAACAGAGGGATCCAGAAACATATAAATAACAGTTTTAAATGAGTTGATAAAAAGTACTCAAATTCCTACAAAGACAGGTAAGGTCATCTCACAAGTCTGAGATTGAGTGCAGTTTAGGCACCACCCGGATGCAAAAATGTTTTTTTCCACAGGAAAACCGCAGACTAATTGAAAGTTTTCACCTTAAACAAAAACCGATCTATTTTTAAAATTACACGACAACAACACCTTTCATATTTAAAATTCGGTTATTACCTCTCTTTAAGTAACAACTTAATGAAATATATTTTCGCAAATAAATATAACTAAATCGCAATTAAAACGAGATACACCAACACGCAAGGCGTTACAATAAATAAATGTCGTCCGGTAGTAAAATCACGAAAAACAAAATAAAGTCAAATAAACCATTATTAAGGAATTAAGTATTCTTTCAAGAGTCTACGTAAAATGTATATAATTGAAAAGAGAACGAGCAATTAGTTTTTTTTGTTGAGGAACACTGTTGGCTTTTCTATGATTATTACCTAGCGAACACAAAGCAAATGAAACAAAGGATAATGAAAATGGCACGAGCCCTTTTGGCAGCTAGAATCTCTTACTCTTAAAGTTGAAAAACATATTACAAATCAACAAAAATAGCTATATTCTCCCTAACAAGAAAAAAATGTGTGAACACACTTTTTTCACGTTGGTGGTTCAAAATTACTGCCCACTTTCTCAAGTTCATCCACGTCATCAGTCTGCAAGAGCCATATTTTCTTGCCAAAATGTTCTTCGATTTTCTTTATGATCGTCATAGACCACCGCTGACCATTAATGAAGTTGACCGCAATGCCGCTCTTGCCAAACCGGCCAGTCCTGCCGATGCTGCGCAAGTATGTTTGGTAATCTGGTTGACCCGTGGGCTGAACTGGCATATCGTAATTTATTACCACATTAACCTATAACAACAAAACAAAAAATTAAACAATATCGTATTACTAGGTAGGAGAGGTAACCGGAAAACCCGCTCAGGTGGGGAAAACCGGTCTGTTCATATAATCTCTCTTTTTAATTTGATCGCCTTTACATGCACATGATCGGTGGGGTCCCCCACCTCCACGTAAACAGGCTCTAAGGCCTCACTGGCTCCACTAGGGAATGGGGGAGGGGAGGGGCCTATGTAACGAGGGAATTGCTCTTTGACGTCAATTCTGTGCTCAAGTCATTACGCAGTTTCTTAATCCATACGAAAAATGGTTCTGTGGAGTTACGAAGAGAATATCAAACAAATTTCATCAGGGAACACTGAAAATAATAAGCTTTTGAGGGTTTTTGCAGGCATAGCATTAAAATTTGAAAAACTGGTCCAATCGGTATGTTAAGGAGCATATTATATACCTACCAGGGCTTAGAAACAGGGCAAAGAAAAAAAGAAAAAGCGCAAGCTGACGGGAGAAGACAGGAAAGGGGGAGATCCGGGTTCTCTGTTTGGAACAGGGCAAAGAGAAGGAGAAAAAGCACAAGCCTGAGGGGAAGTGAACGGAGGGAGGAAAAGCCAATGCTCCTGCCCTTCTTTCCACCCCACGACCTTTAGGGAGACTTGGCTTAGGGGGCGAGTGTTCAGTGGTCTTAAGCGATTCTTATGGCAGCCAATGCGTACTTACCTGTTCCACATCAATGCCTCTGACGCTCACATTAGTTGCTATCAGCAGTCTCTTCCTGCCCTCGCGGAATCTGTTTAATACTGCTAGCCGCTGTTCCACTCTCATTTCGCCTGACAACAGCGCTACTGAATGACCATCCGCTGTCATCTTCCTTGCCAACAAAAGGGCGGACTTCCGAGTCTGAAACGACACAGGCATACATAAATGTGGAAACATCCTGGCGTTAGGAAAAATTTTCCGAAGAGCAACTAAAATTTATGCTGCTTTGCAGTCGTTTCCTGAGGTGAGGAAGGATTTGGATGGGAATCAGGGGAAAAGTGAAAGGAAAAAGGAGGGGGAGGGAAGGGATTTATTTTAACACTTACGTGACAGAAAACAATACACTGTCCAATAGACACAACGCCATACATGTTGGAGAGGGCCTGGAACTTATCCTCTTTGTCACGACACACCACATAGTACTGCTTGATATTGTCCAGGCTCTCCTCTTCCCGACGCAGCCGAATGATGATAGGGTCTGGTACTACTGTCTTGGCAAATTTCATCACCTCGTCGTCGTAGGTTGAAGAGAACAGAAGCATTTGGCAATCTTTAGGAAGGGTCCTAGAACAGAAGAAATACATTATTTCTTAAGTTCAATATTCGCATTGCAACTAAAGCGGGGACAACAATGACAACCTGCCATGGGCTATCTGCCCTTGGAACCTGTCACACTAGTCTCTCAGTGGAGAATATTAAAGATCAAAAAAGACAAATTAACCGAATGGAGTTCCCTCCAAGGAACAAAGAGGTGGGTGGGTGGAAGGAAGCAAGCAAACAAAAGGGAAAAGAGAGGTAAAGCTATTCAAAGCAAACCAGAGGGCAAACCTCTGAAGAAATGAGACAAATGCACATGCCCAAGGTGATCATCTGCTGGCCAGCAGAAAATCTCCTAGTAACTATGATTATATATAATTGAATTTTTTGCCAGTTTCATCCGTAAGTATGACAAAAGGGAAGAAGCCCTACCTGTATATTCTAATGACCTGATCCTGGTGTCCCTGTTGTGCCATCATGACATCAGCCTCATCTAACACAATCATCTTGATTTTTTTTGGGTCCAGCACTCGGTGACGCTGAATCCAGTATAATAAAGTTCCAGACGTAGCAAATATTATGTGACCTATGAGTTTCTGACCTTTTAACACTGTAGAAAGGAGAAGGAGAGGGGATTAAGAACATTTAAGGCGGTATATGGAATATACAATAATCATTTTCTTTAGCGACAAAATAAAAACAATGCTAAGCCGTATTTATAGGCCTTAATCAGGGGGCAAAGAAAGTCAATTTTACAACCTGCCATTTAGGTAAGCTGTAGCTAGCCCCAAAGTCATTTCAACTGCCACGGAAAAAATTTTTCTTGAAAAGGATTGATTAAAGTTCCTCTGTAATAATTTTTTACAACTCCCTATAAAGCTTCACTTGCCCATCGGACAAGTTAAGACTAGAATTCAATAGCCAGATAGCAAACTTCACTTATAGCCCCGAGCTACCTTAGATTACTTTCTTAGCAAGCTGCTTAACGCAACCTCCCTGCGCCCCTCGCCTGCTTCTAGGGACAAGTGGACAAGTGAACTCTTATGGTAAACTACAGTAAACAGAGAATGATACTTATACCAAAGATTGAATTAAACCCCTTAAGGAGACCAATTGAGGAAAGGCTCGAGCTTTTTTTGACCACAGCCCCAAACAAGACCTAGGAGGCTAAAAATATTAGCATTTCACTTTTTGTCTCACTAAGTAAGACAAGAAATCCAAAATTTACTCCCTTGAGCAAGATAGGATGGTATTTCCCCTTCAGGCCTATGGCTTGTGCATAATTATTTTCCTGGCTCAAGTTTCTCACCTCTCTCCCCCCTCAGTGCATAACCAATCTTGACTTCGGGGCAGAATTTGGCCATCTTTTCTGCCACTTGTCCTGTTTGTAGTGCAAGCTGATATGTAGGTGAAATACAAATAGCCTTGATAAAAGCAAAACAAAATCAATAATCATTTCAACAATTCAGTTTTATGTGACCAAATTCATCATCCAACAATCATTTTTGTTCCCGGGCGGACCCTTTCACTGCTACTGAGGAAGATGGATTTTTTAAGTGGTTTCTACTTTTGAGTCTTTAAACGAAATCTTACAATGTGACCAATCACCATTCAAATGACACTAATTTGAATGACACTTGACACTTTTTTTCTTAGTCTGTTGAGCGAAAAAAAGTGAGACACGAAAATGATGCCATAACGCTTACACCATATTTTACCGTTTCACATTTTGCAAGTATCTCAACGAACCTGTGTTTTTTTTACAAGTTGTGCAGGAGGAAGGAACATACAAGAAATAAAACAAAATAATACCTGAGGGAAGTTTTTTGTTGCATCTACTCTGCTAAGCATGGGCAAAACAAATGCTGCAGTTTTTCCTGTCCCAGACTGTGATTGAGCTATCATATTGTTTGGTCTAAACATCAAACAAAAAAGCAAACATTTATACAACTGCCACTTGATACCCACCAAGAAACCTCCCTAACATGTTGTGCCTTTATAACATGGAGGGGAGGTTCGTGTGCCTCAATGACCCTGAAAACTGCACTGTATAGTGGTTGGCACCTTCTTCCTTGGTGCGTTCAACTGTGTTGGGCAGGTTTTGGGTGAGAAAGGCCAGGCCCCAGTTGTTTAAAAGTTGGATAGCACTATCCAACGGATAAATCACTATCCAGTTGATACATGTTAGGCAAACCAATAAAATTGTGCTATCCGGTGAACAGTGCTATCTACCTTTTGAACAACTGGGGCCAGATGAATAAAATTGCAATGCCTAGCCCCACCAGGTTGGGGTTTGAGCAATGAGTTAATGTCTCATTCCCATAATATAAAATATTACTGATACCAGACACACTTTTCAAGGACAAGTCAGAGGCCTTATGCGTAATGGAGCATGAAGAGGAGAGTCAAGGTAAGTACCCACGGAGAAAAGAAATTTATTCATAATTAATGTTTTATCTCACTGAATATGGGCACACTGTATTATAATAATATTTCAGATTAAATTATTCTGATTATATGGTTTTACTAGTCGAGCATGCGGACTATTACAAAATTAATCCAAGGAATTAAACATGCAGTAACTCACGGATCAGCTAACAGCATGGGTAGTGCTGTTTCCTGAATCTTGGATGGTTTGTTAAAACCCATATCATAGACACCACGACGGAGTTGTTCTGACCTGATAAAAAATACAACACAGATTATATTATTTTATGATAATCATAATAGTCACTGGCAATAGTCACTGATAAACCTTTGAAATTTAAAATCCTTTCATGTCAGGAGGAAAAGAAATAGAATGGTGGTCAGTACTTACAGTGGTAATTCCTCAAATGACTTGACAGAGTACAAGGGTGAACTTGGCTCATTTCTCTGTACCTCAACCTCATTCTTGGTCTTAACAAGTTTACTTCTTAACACTTTCATCAAAAAAGAAGCATCTGCAAGGTCTGTAGCCTTAGTCAGCTCTGTCCAAGAAAGACAATGCCAGTATGGGGTTTTAGTATTGATAAAAGTATAAATAATGGTCCTAAGGACTGAGTGGAATCCAATTCAGTCTGTAATCATACAAGTGATTAACAAAATCGGATGACTGCATAGCGGGAGTCCAGTTTGTTTAATCATGAGTATGATTACAGACCACATTGGACAACACGAAGATCTGTAACTAATTAATCATAAGTATAACAAAGTTTGTGAGATTTGGTCCTTTTTTAAAATTAAAAGACAAGAAATTACGATGGCTTTTTCTAGAAGTTAAAAAAAAGCCATTTAAGTGCGTGCGGCCGATGGCACATACTGTCAAATTACTTAGGTATAACGAGTACTGTCCTATTACACTGTGCTGTTAGTGCTGAAATCAGGACAGCTGATAGCTATGATTAGTATGAATAATAATATTATTACAAAATATGTCACTGAGCACTGAGCTTGCATTTTATTTGTACCATTATCCTCTTGTTCTGTAACAGCTTGCTTCTCCTCTGTTGGTTTAGTGGTACTTGTGTTACTTAAAGTCAACTTATCAACCTGCAAATAGTGAATAAATATATGAAAGTCAAAAGGGGTGTTACTAGTAGCCTGAGTAAAAAGCCAACATTTTGGGCCACCAACGTTTTCAATGTTTTCCACATGGGGAATGAGTGCAGAAATTCCATACTGATGATGTGTCACTACCCAGATATGGGCAATGCTTCTGATTTGTTGTGCCGCAAGGGAAATTTGTATTAACCAATCAGAATCACTACACAAATCTGGTTAGTGAAATGCCATCAGTCTAGAGTTTCTGCCCTTGTTCCTCAGAGGTCATTTCCTGGGAAAACCAGTGGTGGCATCACAAAATGTCATTGAATTGTTGGCTTTTTTCTCAGGTAAATCTCCCGACAATACCACTCTTAATGATCATTACTTCTCTTGCTTATTGTTCCTATTATCACACATTATATAAGACAGCGTTTACACTCAGTACCCAAATACAGTACTCACTGAGCACTAATGTGAACGCACCATTTTTTCAAGTACCCACACTAGAATTCGGACATGGTGCCGGCGCCCAAGTAGTATAGGAGGTCTCGACCTTGTTCTTCGGCACAAAAGTAGGCACTGGGTCCCTGTCTGCAAACAATTTTTGTAAGTTCCAGGCAGTCAACTGCTTTGTTCTCACTCCCAAGCTCATGTTTCAACATAGGCGTACGGGCCGGGGGGGGCGAGGGGGGCTGCAGCCCCCCCAAATTTTGGGCAACTCTGATTTTTTTGGGCAGCGAGAGAAAATTTGGGCAAAACCAGTTTTTTTAAATCATTGTTTTGAAGAGATAAATATTTTCTATTGTAACCTGAAGTTGGCGTAATAATCCAGTACTGTTACATTCACACAAGACAGTGGTTGCCTAGCACAAAATGAGTTTTTTTTTTTATTATTGGGCACTGTACTGCAATGGGCTATTTCCAGTCGTGAATTGATTAGAACAAACTTCCGCCTAACTTTCTAGAATCATCTCCGCTCGTAGAACAGTGTATGGCAGATAGCATCAGCAATGGGTCTGAAAGTGAAGAAGTGGCTGAATAATTCTCAGTTTGAATTAAGCGAAGAATTGTAATTTTTTTAAAAAAAAATCTATCGAGTGGTTTAAAAATTGTTCACTAATTTGTTAAAGTAGACCGGAAAGTTTACAAAACCGCTAACAAGAGCGCCTTGATACATACTAAATACTCAAATCCTTTTTTGGCCAGAGCTATTACCATGATCTTCTGGCTACGTTTTTAAAAAGATTGAAACTACTATGAGGTAAAATTGCATGTCAAAAGTGCTTCGTTTTCTACAGATAACAGCCAAACATCAAGATTTTACTTTTTTACCGTATTTCTAACGATAAAAACTTTGTCCCAAAATATCTCCGCAACACTCTTACAGATTCCGTTTTAACCTCACGAACATCGAGGCGACCATTGGAGGAAAATGCTCCCGTGAACGATTTTGGAAGAACAGTTTCCAGTGAGAAATGTTCCTGCAAGTATAATAGCTAATGGTGTCATTTGGTTGCTATGACAACTCTGATTTTATTGCAACCCGGATCATAACAAATTTTCATCTTTATCTAAATAAATACAACTGTGGTGGAATTTTTCCAAATGTTTGTTTATGGTGTCATAGTCTATGCTCAAAAAAAAACTTCACAGGTATTGACCCTGAAAAACTGTATCGAGCCACTTTCATATGCTAGTATGGCCTATGTTGTTGCATTGTATGGCCCTCGTTTCTGTTCGACTGTTTTGTAAAAATTTGGGCAACTTGCAAGAGTTTTTTGGGCAAATGGTTTACCGCCCCCCCTGGCAAAAAATTGCCCGTACGTCTATGTGTTTCAAAATGGAAGTCTGACAAGGCGAAATGGAGTAACCATGTATACCGTCATATATCGGGTAATCAAAGTGTGAACACAACACCATTTTGTGCTGGTACCCAGGCACTGGTTCCTGAGCACAAAGTCTGGACAGCCCCAAGATGTAGTGAATGGTGAAAAATTTGACATTTACCACCGTTTTCGTTGATATGCGACTTTCAAAAACAAAACACCCGCGGAAATGTTTCCAAAATTTCCGTCAATCATGCATGTTATCGACAGATCGGATCGAAATCCACCAATCACAACCACTAGTGTGACCTTCTGACCTTCTTTAAGTCATGCTAGCGGGCTGTGATTGGTGGATTTCGATCCGATCTGCCAATAATATGGATGATTGACGGAAATTTTGGAAACGTTTCTGTGGGTGTTTTGTTTTCGAAAGTCGCGTATCAACGAAAACGGTGGTAAGACATAACTTAACACAAGTGAAAATGTGTGGTTCCAGGAAAATATCCATCCCCCCCCCCCAACGGAAGATCCTTGGAAATTCCTGGCCATCAAGATGAGGTTAACATCATTGGCTTTAATGTTTCTGTTTTTCTTTGAGTTAGCTAGCACTACAATCTCCAGAAGAACGATGTGTCTTTGAAACAATGTGATTTAAAATGGCTGACATAACTGGCCGGAGTCTTGTCTTCATCTTGTTTTCTCCCGACCAATATTAAAGTGCTTACTTCTGTTCACTGAGTACCTTCGCTACATTCACATGTAGGAAACACATTTTTGATAGGATTCATGTTTTATCAGTGTCTGTTGGGGGTAGTAACTCATAAAAAATGCGATGAGACGAGAGTACTTTCCTCCCCATTTCTTGCTCGACCTTCACAAGGCCTGGCTACCTGGCTAGTAAAATTACTTCTGCAATCGTGACGATGTTCACAAAACCTAGTGTCTTGGCATGTGTTAGTGAAATTTTCGGTCCTTAAATAAGAATCAACCTGAAGAAAATGACAAAATGTGAAGAAAAAGAAACAGCCAGAAAGGAACCTTGGAATGGAAAATCCTGGGGGGTGGGAGTGCAAATCAAAGAGTCTTCCGTGGGGTGGGGGTATGGATATTTTCTGGATCTACACAATCCTGGGGGGAACCAGAATGTTTAATTTTGAAAATGCCCACGATCAGAAGGAAGATAAAGGGTATACTTGGAATGACTGGGCCTTTAATTCCAAAACCCTTGAAAATTCGAAGGGGGTATATATCAGGATGACACAGGTGACTTACCTGTTGCTTGTTTTCTGCAGGCAACTTATGAGCATTCTAAAAAAGAAAAAGAGAAAGAACCAATGTCTAGTTAATCTTAACAACAGGAAAAAAACTGCTAGTTAAGGTATCATTCACCCTCAAGCACCCTGCTCGCGTTGATCAGTGCTAGCGCTGTTGCTTTTAATAAATACCCCCATAAATATTATATAAACCGTACATTTTCTGAAAGCTTAATAGTTCCAGATTATTGCCTATTCCTTTTGAAAATATAAAAATACTAATGTGATTCAGAAATGAGAATCTCTTTGTGAAAATAGG